ATTAAGCTGTTTCCATCAAAAAGTGTCAAAAATTAATAATTTTTTATCCTGATGCATAACGTAATGAAGTGAAAGACAAATTTAAAAAGGGAGTATTTGCGGATTCAGAAAAAGCCGCCATTTACAACTTCGCTAGTTAATGAGCCACAAGGGTTCCTAACTTGCATAAATATAATTTTATCAGGAATAATTCTGAAATTAAATACAAGGATAAATATAGTTATAATAGATGCCTAAAATAATATTTTAATTTAAATTTGTAATAAATCTCATTTAACTTAATTACTTCCCTTTTCCTTCCTAAAAACAGTAAAATGCATGTCTCTGAAGTGCACCTTTCCAAACTTTCATGTGATTTTTACATAACGCAAGAGACACATCTACTTACACAATAGTAAAAATCTGATGTGTACACTACATGACTTCCTTGTACGGACTATTAAATTATACGAATTTTTTATTGCATTTCATTTAAACTTATTGGATTGAATTATATCTACTTCGCCGACAGCGCATAAACCACAATAGAATAAATGCGTTCTTTAAAATTCACTCTGGTATTTGTTTACCATAGCGACACTCTGGCGCTAGATTCACTTAAGAGTATTAATAAGTATATAACAGTTAACTTATATAATAATTATATAACGGAAACTAAGTTAACTGATATATAATCCAATAATTATATAACAGCTAACTTATATATTTCGTTCCTATTATAACTCATAATGCAGAAAATTTATATCATTTAAAGAATAGAATTATCTAATCGTTGCCACATGTTCTATTCAACTACTGTAATAAAGCTAGAATGATGTATAAAAGAAATTAAGCAAACAAAACAAAAAAGAAACAGTTTTTTCACAGACGATTGAGTATTTCTCATTTAATTAATTCAGTTCTCACTTCGCGAGAAGGCAAAAATACATAAAAACTCAAAATATCTATATTAAAAATTACGAAGTAAATCTTAAACACTTATTTCCTCGAAAAAATTCCAGAAAGAATTAAGCATGATTTAATTGGCAATAATAAATGAATGCGTTATCTTTGTTGTTGCGAAGCTAAGTTTCTCTAGATTGGCAACAAATCCACTAGTCTCCTGTTTCAAATGTAAACATCAATGGCCGCCATAAAAAAAAAAGGCTTAGCGGCACTTAAACAGCTTTAAAATTGTTTATATACGTTTGGTGCGGCCGATTGCAACCAAAATACGAGGTGCACATCTACATGTTATAGCAGTCATATATACAAAATTTCAACGTACGTACATACGTTCGTACAGACGCCACGAAAAATTCTCTTCAGAATTAATTTTAAAGTAGTTTTATAATTTTTTTGGAGGAAACGAGTCTTTTATTCTATTCTTACGTACAGATATCACGCAAAAACATCGTTAAATTGCATTCGATAGCGGTCAAAATGGATATTTTCGTTGAATTATGCTGCCTGAAACTTTTCGCGATTACAATACTTCCTGTTTACTTCGTACAAGGAAGTAAAAAACTGAGCAATTTAAGATAAATTTCCATTTGCCGAAATAAATTTTTTTTTATTTACCATTCGCCAGCGTGTTCCCCTCCTCCAAGGTACAACTGATTAGCAAATTAAGAAATATAAAAGTAATAAATGAGCTTTATATCTTTAATTATGAATTACAGGACCGATTCATGAAATTATACTAGCTGGACTCATCAAAGTCAATTTTTTTTAATAATTACTTTAAGCGGCTCAGTTAAAAAACTAAGCGATTTAAAATACTAAGCAGTTTTTATTAATATTTTTTTACCATTTAATTTGATTGATTTAAATAAAAATACATTTAATTTAATGCAATATCTACCAAAAATCTATCAAAAACATTAATTAAATTAGAAAAGCTGAGCGCACTTTAAATTACATTAACTAGACTGATTAGTCATTACATATATTTTATAATAAACAGTTTAGGTGGCTAGCTTCCGCAAAAATTCATTAAACTACGAAATTTTTTTTACTAGCCCAAAGGGGCAATTTGCCCAGAAGGGCAATTCATTTCGTTTTAGTATTTTACGTCCACTATGAAACGACGTTGCACTTTTCAAATTGCTGCCACCAAGTATTAGAGCTCTGAATTATATTGAAAAAAATTGAATTATGAAAAATCTGCATGAATTTATGCATGTTCCTAAGCACTGTGGAAAAAACAAGGGGAAAAACTAGAGACATCATATTTTGAATAACGTAGTCCTCCACTTCAATATGGGCATCTGGAAGCCCAAATGTGGAATTTAGAATTTTTTTAATTATTTATTTTCATATTTTATAAAACATTAAAGAATTTTTGATTAACAAACTCAATGATTTCAAAGTGAGTAATGGCAACACTGTATGGTAGGGGGGGGGAGAAATTTATCTCTAGCTCGTAAGACTGAATATCGGAAATTCTAAAGATATACTCTTTTTAAATATTTTGTGATATTGCTATCGCATTGAATTTTATGGTTTAAGTGCGAAGAAAATGATATTTTATAAATAAAGGTAACACGATGTAAGGTTTATCCTAAGATTTTTAACAGTTATTTTAAGTCAAAGCTCCTTTCCTATCTTTCCTTTCTTTTTCCTCAGAGTTTTTCCTTTTGGTCATGTCTCTCTAAGCAAGCCAAAAGTCCTCGTGTGTGGTTTGATGGTAGGGGTGAGGTTTACGCTCCCGGGGCGCTCTCCTTCAAAATTGGGTTGAAAATAGAAGTCCAAACTCTGACGCTCTTGCTTTTCAATTTGTATACGTTCTTTGAATATGACCTCCAACTTTAATAAAAATATCGATGCCCAGACTAAGTATTATCACATTACGCTCGATATTTTATGTTGTATTTTTTATGAATAGCACATAGTTTTCCTAAATATGAATATAGGGATCAGAAAAAAAGCATAAAATGTTAACTTTCGTAATTTACAAAATTGACTTCTTTAAGTTGAAAATGCCAAAACATGAATGCTTGTGTCATTTAAAATTATTTTGTAATTGGAAGCATATGCCAATGACCAACGTTTGAGAAAATAAAAGCCGTGTAAGAACTTTTATGGACACGGTAGATATACGTATGTATATTTGAATATCATATATTAGCTTTTGATTGATACTGATTTAAACAATTTACTGACTGGCTGATTTATGAAAAAAGCTTAGCAATTTGAAATAGTCATTCAAAATGGATGTTGTAACTTGTATTCTAAAAAACCGTCTTTCAACTATGTTGCATTTATTAATGGCAATCATACGGATTCTAAACTTTCGCTTCCTTTGTAAGATCCTTGTCAAATCCTACGCCTTTTGTTATAAGCCTGCTGCAGACAACAGAAGGCGGAGACAGATTTATAGGCATCAAAATCTTGCCGCTTTATCTTTAATTTAGAAAAAGATCTCGTAGAATATGTTACAAATTAACGCATGATATTTTACAGCTAAATTTTTATTATTTTGCTGATTCGTGTAGTTTGGCAAAAAGCAGATTCAAATAAGAATAATTGTACATGTATAAAACGCTTAACAGAAGAAAGATACAACTGCATTTGTAAAAGAGTTAAATGGTGTGAGAACTAAATACTTTCTTTCAGAATGTATGGGTTAAATTTAGGCAAATAACAGGCTCGACTAATTTTCTGGAGCAATAAAAGCTGCAACATAGTATTTCAAAGTTTAGAATGCAGTGTAAGTTGAAAGCAAAGAATTACATAACATATGTATGGATTTCAACCAGCAAATGCTTTGACATCTACATATTGACTTTTTCATATTTATCACACAGATTTCATGAAAATAACGATATTAGATGTTAAGCAGACAGATGTGTAATAGTATTTCTTCACAGAAATATTTTTGATGTTGTGTTAAACTAAATATGAAAATATAAAGAGAAATTTCTCGTACGCCGTAAAAAAAGTGCTTTCGGATTAGGAGGTAGTACATTTTATATGTTACTTTGATTTTGTGATATTGTAAATATAATTTTTAAGCATTTAATGTTTACTCTTAACACTGACATCATGTATATTCTACAAAATCTTAGTTAATTGTATATAAAACTGCCCAGAGATGTTCCGATAAGTAAAATAATCTCTCTGGCGCAGCCCGCAAAAAGACCATAGCGCAACGTAAAGTCTGCCAGGAGGGTCGGGCTGTGTCCCTCATATCATGTAAAATAATCTTCTAAAAGGTAACATTCAAAACTTCGAATAACATTGGAGAGATTATAAAGTCGCTAAACAACTGAGATATTACAATATAATTAAAGTCAAAATGAATGCTTGTAAAGAATATGTAACTTCTGAATTGTTCATACTTAAGAACGGGTACAAATTATTGGGAGCGGCACAAAGACACACTAATTCTGAGGCTTTGATGAATAAGTTATGTTTTAGACAGACCCGTTTTTTATTCTCATTCATTTTACTCTTCAATAATAAGTTGAAACAATACGTCAAATGATACATTACAAAAACATTAAAAGTAATTTATTCTCCCCACAAAATAAGCCAGTCTTAACTATTGGAAATTGCTAATTAATGTTAAGCTACAGAATAAAAAAATGAAAACTCGTAGTAGATGCTGCGTGAAACATGTTTACGCGCCTCTGGCATTTCAACAAAATGCTTTAACACCCCACAGAACTGCCAAAATAATAAGTCACTCTTTCTAGGCGGGATTACAGTTACGAAATAATTTATCATGCCTAGGAAATGCTTTACAAATTAATCAACAGAAAAGTAGTTCTTTAGCTACATTATTACCTATTCTTGGTTTCATGGGAAAAATTAATGTTGCTTATATTATTTCAAGTCCACTGTTCCAATATAACGCATTTTTAAATTATAAAAGCTACGAAAACTTAGGATACACAGGATTGCTTTTGCTGAGGCAGTTTAATATATCCACTAAAGTTAAGGACTCATTTCGTCCAAGTTAACAAATTAAAAAAATGACGTAAATCATAACCTTGAAAACAGTGGAAAATATTTACCGTAAAGCATCTGAATTCCAATTGTATCATCATGAGGAAGCTGAAAGTTTTCCTGGATGGTCTGGTAGAAAGGATTCATCAGTGCACCATCCACAGAAGAATGAGACAATCCAAGGGAATGTCCAAACTCATGCGCTGCCACTGCGAACAGACGTACGCCTGAAGTAAAAGGAAAAAAAAAAAAAAAAAAAAAAAAAAAAAAAGATTCAATAAAATAAAAATTAATTTGACTTATTTGCGACTTAAACGAAATTATGTCAATAATGAAAATTTACAATTGCTATTATCAGTAGAGTTTATCAATATTGTAAAAACGTTTTAAAATACTTGCAAGTTATTTATGGTGTTGTACTCATAAGTACTTTCTAGGAATATACAAACAATACATTTTAAAATTAATTGTCTTTAAATAATTAATCGGATTTGAAATAACAACTTTAGTAAGTAAATTTCAGGAAAAATGGATGACGGAAATCCATTCCCCCTCCCTATGGCGAGCTCAAACCGTTACAGACGTTGGCCATTACTAAGGCCAAAAGCGGTGGCCAGTTTATTACGGAGGCACTCAATAGGTAGGCCACCTTTATCTCCTATGAGGGGACGGACAAATACAACCATGCCATCTCCGAGATTCGAAGCCGGAACTTTTGGTATTGCAGTCGGCTGCTCTAATCACTATACCGTTTGGGCGGCAAATCCATTTGTTAAACTCAGACATTGCATTATAAATGGCTTCACAGCACTTACTAATAATTACTTCTCCTCGTTTAGAAGAGAGAGATGTATAAATCTTACGACTGTCAAGAAGTGAAATCTGTCACCACTTAGGGAAAAACGTTACATATGTTACTAGCATTAAATGAAATTATTCAAAATCTACATTACTTTATACATTACATGTTTTCAGTTACTCAGAAATATAGTCACATAAAATTAAATTACTTCGGACTGCGATTAGAAGATTTCAAATTCTCATTTCGCAGCTTGTTATTGCCGTCACTAAAATATAGTGACATCACCTTCTTGTTGGTTTTCGTCATTAAAATATAGTGATATCGATATACTAAAGGTCCCAGAGTCCATAATAAAAACTTGATCACTAACAGAATAAAAATTTTATATGTCCAGCATAAATACTTTTAACAAAATAACAAATTCAATAAAACCTAATAATAACAGTGGCTACTAACACCTATTTTATAAGTAACAGTGGCTAATTTATGAAATAGGTTTCCACCTAACCTGAACTTTTGAGAACCAAAAGACATGTTTGCGGAGTTAAAAAAATTTAACTAGCCTAAATTTTAGAGCCAGAGTGCTCTTCTTGCATTTGCGATTTGTGCAAGCTCGTTAATCTGTCTCTGAATATAATAATAAAATACTTGAATATAATAGGAAGAAACAACGGTAAGAAATGTATATATTTTTTAAAATTCTAAAAGAAAAAGACAATTTCTAAATTACTGTATACTAAATTCTTTTATATTCTTCTTAATATTTAGACTAAATTATTTTATATTCTTTCTAAAACAATGAATTACAAATGAGACATTTATTATTAAATATTACTTAGTTCAATTGAAACAGAGTTTTGAAAAGTCATATTGGTGACAAATAAAGTTTTGTTTGTTGCCCAAACTTTGACCCAGTAGCTATGTCATATCGATTCATTTTGTTAAGTAGAATTAGCTCTAATAAAATTTTGTCAATTACGTTGCGAAAATATGGAGCCAGCTGCTTAACGCGAATCTGTTATATCATTGCAGGAAATGGCTGTTTTATAACGCTATTAATTTTAGGGCCGTTCGGTCTGCTCGTAATTATATTATGTTTACGCACGTGTAATGGAAATGGTTAAAAACGGAGAGAACGTTTCCACAGGAATATCCACAGGGGATGTCTGCGAATGTCCCATTACGTTATCGGGCACGCGCATTTCCTGCTTGTGGCCTCCGACACAACAGTCCCGGCAGGGGAAAGAAAAAAAAAAAAAAGGAAGGCAAAAACCAAACAAAAGACAAACAAGAAAACGTATTCGAACAGACAAGATAAATGCTGTTTATAAAAAGCTCTCAACTGTCGCAAAAACGAGGCGCTGACGGCAGTAGCTAGACACTGAACAGAGCAAACTGGGGATTTCGGCTTCAGGAGAAAAGCCAGATACTTTTTGGAGTAAAGATATTTGTTCTGCCTTTCAAACTCACGCGAAGTTCTGCACTGTCATTGGACTGACTACTTCTGTTTATTGATTTTAGAAATGTGAAAGCTTGGTCTTAAAAGATAAATGTTAATCTCAAGTTTCTTGATCAAAATCTGGTATTGTCATCGCCTTGGTTGTTTCAAATCGTATTAGATTTCGTCGTTTTGTAAATATAATAAATTAAATGTGAATGTCATTCAATAGCACAAAACAGGCGAAACTTTCTGCAGTAATCTGACAGTCTGAAAGAAAAAGTTAACTGCGAGAAAAAGAACTATGTTTCACTTTTTTAGCGTGTCTTATTTGAAAAGCTATACATCATTCAAGAAAGAACGAATATTTTCTCCCTTCTTCATCAATCAGCCTTTTAAATCCTCTCAGATGTTCTATCGCCAAGAACAGCGAGAAGCTTTGTCTTGTAAATTCTTGATATTTTAGAATAATGACTTAAAAGCTCTTATTTTTTAATTATTTTTGTCAAAGGCGAGAAATTCAAATCACTGCGTTTCGTGTTAACTGAAATTCTAAAAATTTACAGAAAACTTATTATTAATTATATAGTCTGATAACAAATAAATCTGAATAAAAATTGCTTTTCTAATTGAATCACAAAATATTAGTTTACTAAAATGCCGAAATCTAGAATTTGCAAACGCATCATTGTCACCAATGTTTCCTCATAAACAAATCAACAAGATCAAGTACACTGGTGTGCAAAAATTAAGGACGAAGTCGAAAAATTAGCATATCAGCTGAACGAAGAGGCAGAGCGGGCAGAAAAACCAATCAGGAGATTAAGTAAGGTGATGTACGGTAGCACATGCGCAGATATGCAGGTAGACGTAATGGGGGAGTGTCTGAGTAGTATAAAGCATGTTGTCGGTGTAAGATCAGTATTTCTGGCAAAGAGATTGCACGCCGTATAGCAGTTAAAATCACACCGAGTTTTTGCCTCAGCGAGAAATGGCGAATAATCAATCTGTTAGACGACATCTGGATGCTTTTACCCGAGGTCGAATCATTGGGAAGTTGGAGGAAGGCCGCAGTGTGACAAGTGTGGCTGCAAAGTTCGGAATTGCTCACAGCATCGTTTCACGACTTTGGAGACAATTTCAAACTACAGGAACAGCTATCCGGGGGGGGGTTAGTAGTGGTCGTCCACGAGGAACCACACCCGCAGATGACCGGTATATTGCCTTACAGGTCAGAAGAAACAGGCGGCAGACAGCGGAAGAAATCGCTAGACACACGACACAGGCGACTGGACGACCGATATCGCGTTTTACCGTGGCCAGAAAACTGCACGGTGGTAGTCTGTTTGCACGACGCCCTGTACGGTGTGTACTTCTAAAGCCTGCCCATCGGAGAAGGCGTTCTCTGTGGTGCCGGGAACACCGGAATTGGAGTGACAATGAATGAGGACGAGTGCCCTTTACAGATGTGAGCAGATTCAGTCTGAGTAGCGATTCTCATCGCATACTCATCTGGAGAGAACGGAGAAGCCGTAATCATCCCTCGAACATCATTTAAAGGGACAGGTATGGAGGTGGCGGTGTTCTCGTTTGGGGAGGCATCATGCTTGGTAGTCGTACAGACCTTCACATCTTCGACGCAGGTTCAGTCAACGGGACCCCGTTATTGTAACGAGATTCTTCTTCCATATGTGCGTCTTTTTAGAGGCGCTATGGGTCCGCAGTTCCTTTTCATGGACGACAATGCACCATGTCATCGCACAGTAGCTGCCGAACAGCTCTTAGAGAGTGAGGATATTGAACGTATGGATTGGCCGGCACGATCTTCGGATCTCAATCCCATCGAACATTATGGGATTTTCTAGGCAGACGCTTGGCAGCTCGTACCTTACCACCAGTAACGATTCCGGAGCTTCGATTGGCGCTGCAAGACGAATGGGCAGCAATGCCTCAACAACTCATTGACACACTCATTCTCAGCATGGGCAGACGCTGTGAAACCTGCCTAGCAGTCAGGGGAGATCATATCCCCTATTAAAGACCGGATGTTTCTTGCTGGACACCCATCACAGGGATGTTTCGGCCTTCAGTCGCATTGCGCTCCATGCTACTTTTTCAATAAAGCTTCTTTTTATCCATCTGATTTCTCTTTTAGTAAGTGTTGCTTACATTACTCATGTCCTTACGTATTGGGGATCTTACGGTATTAAATGTGTTGATTTGGAAAGCCTTTGTACAAAGTTATATTGAAAAAAACCATCTCGTCCTTAATTTTTGCACACCAGTGTATTCCTGTGTTCTTATACGCGTACTATGCGCATTAATATACTGTGATCGAAATGTTCACCAGGTAAGTTCCTATAATCTTATCTTATCATTTAGTGTAATGTCACGAATACCTAATAACGCATAAGATGCCGTATAGATTTCCTCACAAAGTTATGTGATCACAAAGATATGTGCCTGCATTTTCTTTGCGACAAGCATTTCAAGTATGATAGAGCCGAAGATCTTTCGCACTGCATAATCTAGTTAACAACTGGGCTGTGGAGAAATCGCGGCATAGTTCACCGCACCAATGCATATTCCGGTATCGCGGAATAAACTTAGAGGCTATGGGAATAGTACTGATATATTGGGCAGACACCACATTTGCAGTCTAAACACAGGCATACTCAGAAAATCGTGCTCGTCCGTTGCATTTGTTGTGTAGCGAATTTAATTTAATTAAGTGATTCATAAAAATCAAAATTTTAATTTGTAATTATTCAAAATTTGAGCTACACAAGTTTGGTTATATTCTTTTTGGGCCTATTAATTCTAGTGTAATATATTTTGGCTTTCCGAGTTTACGCGAACTGCGTCTTCAATCTTGTACACGCAAACAATGGATAAGTATTTCTTTCTACGTAATAAACTCAGTTTTTCATGTCAAAAATTAATTTGATTTTTTAGTATTTAATATCATTAGTTGCAGAAAAATTAGCTCTTTAATTTGGCATAACTTTCGTTTTTCTAACTTTAATTGCATTTCAGTTATGAGCTTTAATTAGTAGTTTTTTTCTCGTTTGCTTGTGATTTAGTTAAAGGGGCATGAAATGGCCTTCTTTCCGGTTGAAAAGTCACTTTTTGCGAGTTTTCAGCGTTCTTTCGTTGGGACCCTTGCAGGGTTGTTGAAATTCCTAATTTTCCCTGTCCACAGGTGGTTTTTTTTTGGCGAGGGTTTGGCGACATAGAAATTTCCGTTGAGGTTTCAGAAGTAGAGGATTTGGCGAATTTGTAACAGATGGAATTTAGTTTATTAAACATTTCATTTTTTTGAATTTTATGTTTGGGAATTTGGTATACGTTTTAGTTAGCTGTTAGCATGTTGATTTAGAATTTGCAACAGGGCAGATGTTTTTATTTTATGAGGGAATGCTTTATTGCAACTATTTTAACTTTTGGCGAAGAGTGGGTTTTGCCAACTAGGCAGTCCGGCGTCCTTCCCTTTTAACGGGGTGTTTTGAGGGACAAGGTCACTTTTTTGGCACTTTTGACTTACCATCGGACGCTGTACTCGCTGGCAGCTGAATTTTTATTTTGGAAAAAAATGCATTTTTCCGCCTTTGGATCTACGGGCTTCTTGCCCTGGAGTTTTGAACGAGGGACTTAGTTTACGCATCATGACCTCGACTAAATTATAGTTCTCATCATTTTTTTTGTGTCTTGAATATGTTAAGTTTAAGTTACTCAAAAGATAAATAAAATAGAAAAATGCAACGAAGGGTGATGCCTAGTACTGGTGCCGTTAAGAAGAAATTTTAGTCTCTCTTCCATGAATAGAGTTTTCATCTGCCTCGATGTTTCACGTCTTTAAGAATTATTTTCCGCCCTGCAAGAGTCTCCGGCATCGCTAGCTCCGGGGTCGCTACTACATAATGCTTCACTTAACTGAAACCACGGCTAACTTCAATATTGGATTGGAAATCAACTATCAAATTAACGAGAACCTCCTTAGTGCATCTTAAATCAATAAGTAACTTCTGGACTCTATTGAAATTCATCTACCTATGAACTCTTCTCATTTTCTACTACGCTCAGCAGCCGTCCTCCTTGGCATCTTGATAATTGTTTAAATATGAGGGCATTTCTCCTCCTCCTGTTCACTTGCAGCCTGTATTTCCGCAGATAAGTTTTTTTTATTTGTTTTCTTTTATTTGTTGGTCTGATGTAAAAAAAAAAAAAAAAAAAAAAAATTATAATAGTAAATTCTAATAGTAAATTATAATAGTAATTTCTAATAGTGATTCTAACAACTAAAATAGTTAATAGTGATTGAAATAACTTAATTAAATGAATTAAATATTGTAGTTGAGTAAATTAACCTAATTCTAATGAAATCATTTGTTTTGTCCATAAAGTAAATTATTAGATTGGGCTAAGGGAAATATATCCTTATTTAAATTATTTAATTGAAACAGTGAATGTAACTTAGTTAGATTGGTTTTAAGGAAATATATTCTTCATTAAATTATTTAATTGAACTTGTGAATTTCTTCCATGGTGAAGATTGATTGGTAAAGGTGTTCATTATTTGAGCTTCTTTGCTCCTCTTAGGGACTAACTTGTAGGATGTAATAGCCTGATTTTAATTAACATATTACCCGGTTAAATCATTCTTTGAAAATAGAAGTTACTATGTGCAATAACCTGATTACATTGGTATTGATTATTCTGTGTTAAATTGCTTGTAGGATGTAATAGCCTGATTTTATTAACATATTACCTGGTTAAATCATTCTTTTGAAAATAGAAAGTTACTATGTGCAATAACCTGAATTACATTGGTATTGATTACTTCTGTGTGAAATGTTTCTTTTTTTTTTTGGAAAGTGTAATTTGTTAATTATTCTTTTTTGGCTCCCCGGGGAGGGTATTGTTAATTTATCCAAAGTTTTATCTTGATTATATTTACCTTGAATGTAATAGAAATAATAGTTTAATATTATGTGACTCTTAAGATAGAAAGTAATATTACTCTGTAGGGGTATGCATTTGTAGAAATCAATATTTTACAGATTCAGCTTGAATATAATTTGCTTACTAAGTTAATTCTGCATTGTGTAATCATCAATATGTTGCAGTTCTGATTGAATATAAATTGCCTTTCAAATTAATGGATTAAGTAATTCTTGAAGAATTTAATAAATAGGCTCACTTTTTTCTAGATCATCAATGTTTATTTATTTCTTTTTGTGTGGTATGCTCATGATTTCACCCGTCTCATTCTCAAATTGATTTCAGGGTTAATCCGAAAACACAACGCAAATGTACAGGGCTTATTGATATTAGTATATTACTGGGTTGTTCTTTACATTATGGTAACTTGGCGATTTTTTGGCGAAAATTTGGCGACTAACTCTCCTACAGCAACCCTCTATTTTTTTTTTTTCCCGCCGCCATTTTGTCTTCACGAAGTAAAGACATGTTTCTTTTCTTTTTATCTACTGAACACTTCTTCCAACAATCTACTAGCTGAATTACACTTATGCTAGAAATTTTATCTAACAAAACTGCTTAATCATGACAACTATTCACTGCAAAATTGGGAAAAAGTGCACAATACCATACTCCTTACGCGTTTTTCAAAATAACACATACACATAAACCATGTACACGTCGACTTATTATTACTTAAAATAACATCCCAGAATTACACAAAAATGGCATTGCGCACACTCTTCACTATATCCATGTACACTGCTTTTTTCTCATAAATTAGAAAAATTTCACGAAAGTACATGACAATTTTCTGAATCTTTAAACCCGGTAAAAAGAACATATATGAAATTACCTGATCGCGAAAAGTATATACCCTTTCCAAATATGAACATTTCCACATATAAAAATAAATAAAATATCCAAAAACTTTTACCACCTCTAAATCATCTATTATATTATAAACGTCACCAACAAATTCATACCGCAAGCATTGCAAATACTTAGTGTCAAATATTTAAATTATTTCCATGCACGTTTACTTCAACTAAAACGTATACCAAATTCCTACAAACATAAAATTCACAAAATAACTATCATTTAATTAAAATATAAATAATTCAAAAACACTACTTAAAATATAAATAAGCACATGCATTAAATTAATAAAAATTAGCTTACAATCCTAATTACTTTAAACTAAATCATTGCTAATAACAATTTTCCCAATAATACCAAATTACTTTACTTCAACCTTACATTTAGAACAATGCATAAAAATAATATCCTCAAATAATTAAAAATACTAACTTACCTAATCTTCTTCAGAATCTTGATTACGTGTCCGATAAACTTTTCTTATTGTTTCAGGATCTTTAAAATCATACTTATAGTTCACAGCAAGGTACCAGGTAAAATAAATAACTTAAAACATATTTACTTCTATCTCGCACAACCTTAAAGAAACACTTATTACTACCCTTTTCAATCCCACTAAATACCCATTTCGAATTCACTTTAGTTAGGGCCATGGGATCCAAAAATTAATCGAACACTGTTTCACACAACACACTAATAAAGCTAAATACAAAATTTCCCGATTTCCCCCCCCTTTTCCGATTAAAGAACCGTAATTCGTCCATTAATATCACATGACATATCCCATGATCTTTCATTTCCCTCACACAAAATAATGCGTAATCGGAACTGAGTACTGCTCACATTATTACCAAAGTCCCAGGTAGTAACCTTTATCGCCTCCAAAATGTCGCCAAACTACCAGTTACCATATTCTAAAGATCAGCCTATTACTGTTGTTGAAAAATTTTAAGTGTTTTGTCAACAGAGTAGGAAACCTTTTAGGTACCAGACCTTTAGGAAGCCATAACATTTTTGGTGCCGTGACTTTTTGACAGAACATTATTGGTGCCATGACACTAGTACAGAACACATTGCTATATGAAGAAATTAAGTTTCATTTCATTACTTAAAGTTATCAACTATAACGCTGGCATATAAGGACTGAATTAACATACTGTAGAATTCTAGACCATACATTCATGTTGTAAAATTGCAATATTTTAAACTCTGAGATGTTCATCTAAGATACCTTACCGTCTATCCCAGGAGGTGGCTGACCATCAACCCATGGTTCGTCTGCATCGAAGTGTGCATCACCTCCAATTCCCTCCCCTGGAAAGAAAGCGTGGGCTAATACAACGCCCTTGCCATCGAACGCATACCCATCGCCATGTTGTCCGTGTTCAAATGAAACAATGATATCGGCGGCCACGTGACTGTTACTGCTCACCTCTCTGAAGTTCAGTTGCGAGACATCACTCCAAACCTTAAAGGCCTTGGTTACTTCTGACCGCACTAGATGTTTCTCTAAGCTCGGTGGGTAAAAGTTGATGCTGAAATTCAAAAACATGTGTTTATTACAAAGCATACCTTTAAAAAATACGTTAATTTATAAAACTGATTTACAAACCTTTGAGTTACCCTAGGATGGGAACTAAGTTTTTGCCGTCTTGTGTAGTCTCTACGGTTCTTAAATTCAGCAGCCTGATTCTCACTAAATTTTTAAAGTATGCCGTCCCTAAATTCTCCAGTCCGGTTGCGCCCTAGCACTGGTTGCACCCGCCTAGCCTGAGTTACTCAAAGATTTTTATCTTTTCATGTAGTCTGTTTCCACTAAATTTTTATCACGTTCTAAAATTACCTTGCTGCTTATGATTTAGAGAATATTATTATGATCCTTGTTGAGAACTGCATAATAAAAACGTATTTCTTTATAGAATTGTAGAATAAGGAGATGTGATATAAGTTTATTTTTCAATATTCTAAGCTATAGGAAGATAGAGAGCAAGACAGAGTTATTTTAATTTTAGGAGAAATATTTTAAGACAGTATTAAATAATAGATAAATGTTTATTTTACAAATAATAATGCAATATTCAAACCAATAATTAAAATTAAAAAAAAAACATTTTTTAAATACACGCATTAGAGTTAAAATATTTTATTTTTTGAGTGAAATATCTTGAAGTAATTTGTTCCAAATATTTATATTTTATTCGAAAAGAATAATTTTATTCTACCACGAAAATTTTATGAAAGTACGAGCAGCTCACAAATGCTAATAATTAAGTATATTTAAGTATAATTTCTACTCTAAATTTAAACTAACATTATAACAGATACTTCGCAAACAGACTTAACATATCTTGGTTATCAATTGTTCTTTTCAAGATCAAAAATTTGAAAGCAAAATATTTAATTAAACATGAACTATTTGAATTTTTGAAAGAAATTACCTATTAGATAAGCATCCCTTCTTTTAGGCAGACAGCCTTAGTATGCTTTGCCATAATCTAATAAACCAAACCTTAACGTATATGTAGATGATTATCTAAGGACATTGCACTAGATTAACATATCATATCTTTATGTATTAAATTATGTTATTTCAAACTTCAGACAGAATTCTGAACTATTTCCATAATTCTAATTTTATTCTAAGCATAAATAATCTTTTAGTTATGCGTTTTAATTAGCATGTCAATTCATTCAATCCTAAATTTACCGTAACACCTTTCCTTCCTTCAGGAAAGCAATTAAAATTTCAGATTTGAAAGACATTTAATACAGACATTTCTTCAATTAATGTGGTTCTGTAATAGCGCACTGCAGTAAAACATGAATAATATTCGCGTATTTATACATTTTTATTTTTTTATCTAGTTCATATAAATGTTCTGTTTATGGTGCATATTACTAATTGTACGGTTTCTAATTATTTTAATATAAGCATAAAGAAAATGTTAAAAGTCTGAGCAATGTAACATACTGAAATTTATAGAAATAGTCGCTACTAATACTATAGAAATAATCACTACTCATAATTTAACATTCTTTAAAAAAGTTTAAAAGATGACAATGTCAGGATTAGATGAAAGTAAACTTTTGAACAAAAAAAAAAAAAAAAAAAAAAAAAAAGAGAACGCTTAACGACTATTATTTAATCCATTTCAACATAACATAATCATGCCCCCCCCAAAAAAAAATCGAAATGTTGCGAAAATTACCAAAATGGGATATCCCCCAACCAAACAAACCAAGCAAAATAAAACTAATACTATTACGCAAACTTGTTCAAAATCATTGTTTCGTATTGGAAAAAAAGTGCAGTATCTGTAAAGCTCAATTAAAATTATGTATGACTGTATAATTATGCAGCAATTGCGCAAGTAGTAATAACTTGTATTCGCACTAAATGGATTTAAGATCATACAACATATATATATGTATATAATACAATTCAAGGTATAATGAAAATAAGACCTTTTAATCTAATTTTAATATCTTTTTTAAATAAATTTATCTTTTTTTAGAAAAATTCTTCCATTAATAACAAGTTAAGAATTTAGGTTTCTTCCGCTTCAATGAATAAAAATTATTGCTTTTAGATTAATTCGAGCGTTTTTCATAAATTAATAAATCTGAAAAACGTTTTTGAATATTTTGTGTACAGTTTTTCTAAGGTTTCATCTCTTTTTATGAGTGTTTGTTTTAATTTTTATACATTTACATCACAGTTAAGCTTGCTTATTAAATTGCTTTTGAATACTTGCATTTCAATAGTAGAGTGCCTAAGACACATCGGATAGTTCATGTTATTCTGAGGATAAGGAGAAGAATTATTTAACATTTTTGGACAATTAGTAATGACGGTACAGATCTCAGAGTGACAGGAGGAAAGAAAGTGTATTCGGCACTCATTAATTATCCAGGATTAATGATTTAAATACTCGCCGCTTGAAAATTTCTAATTAAAGCATTAAACAAAGGATTATTAATATTTTTTATTTATTTATTCTATTTGTTTAACTCTTTATTATTTTTTCCAGTTCTCTCTTGAGAATCTTTTAAATTATATTCCTGGTTTAACGATATACTATCAAATACTTACGCGTTTTCACTCCCGATTGCCTAGTGGCACTTTTAATTCCCTATACAGTTTTTCCTAGGATAGGATAAACCTTTTCGTGGAGTATGATATTTTTTTGAAATTTTGATAAGTATTAGTATTTTTTATATATATTTATATACATGTATGTACATACATTGAAGGTGTATGTAGTATATACATACACCTTCAATGAACTATTTTATATTATTATTTGACTGAATGCAAACAATTTCAATGCATTCCTTCTATGATGACAACCTAAAGTTTTCGAAATGTTTTTTTTTTTAAAGTGGAATAATTTTACACCAGCTTTTGATAGTTTCTTTTAAAACTACTTTATTCGACATAAAAATTCTTGCGTTTTTCCCTTTACCAGATTCCATGTTGACTCTAACTAATCACCAGTTCTTGTTATTTAAAATTAAAAGAAAATTTTTAAAGAATTACAAACAGGATGTCTAAAACATCGCTTACATATAAATGTCTGAAACATGGCGTAGCAGAAAATTCTGAAACTTGCATCACATTCTTGAATACTACTCCCTGCATAGTTTCGATCACTGTCACGTAATTCTATCATGAGTCTCTTTCGAACCAGTGTGGGCGTCATACCATGACCCACAAATCTCCTTAAGTTGCCTTCTTAAAGCTGTGATGATACAGCAACGGTCACGAAATGTGTGTTATGCATTTTAAAAATCTTGAAAGAAATCGTGATTAATGTTACTAGGATTCCTTCAGGCTTTCTCCAAAGAAGTTTCGTCTCAACTCATGTTGTCAACAATGTAGCTGGTACTTTGAACTCGCTATATCCTACGTACAATTACCAGTTGCAAGTTCCTGTAGAAAAATTTCAGAAGCCCCGAAGACTCAGAAAACTTAAACTTCACAGATGATCTGTACTGGTGTAGGAAAGTAACGATAACTGAAAATTCTGTCTACTCATGCTTTGGTACAAAGTAAACTTTCCTAAATATTTTAAACTATATTTTTAATGCATCTGTATGAATTTTCGATATTTCTTTATTAATATTTAATGTATTTATACAAATACTACACCCTTTTCCCCATTCAGAAAGACATCTAGTAAAAGTTATATGGATAAAATATAGGAGTTGCGGATTTTTCAACAGTTAATATGTTAGTTAATAACATGTACATTTTTAACTTTGCTATACATGAATATTATTACTACACATTGTCTTTACACACTTTCGGAGCTGTTTAATTTTTTTACTGGTCTGATACCCTTTTTCTATACTATCGTGATTTCCATGACAGAAGGGTTTTTCGTAAAATTTCCAAGGGTAATGATTTCTATTATTCTCTTCTTTTTCGATAATAAATGCATATTTTTGTTGCTCAACTCATTTAGGTAAACTAAAGCTACATCAAGGGTTACACTGTATTTCCATTTACCTCCTGCTAAATAATTTTCATACAGATTTTAAATATTGTTCTGTACTGAGCCACTACCTCGGCAAAAGTGGTGAACATTATGTTTCTTAGCTTTCTTAATTATAAACCTTGATTTATTCTTTTGTTTATTGTTGCTTATGTATTTAAAGACTTTGCAATAGATTTCTGCATCGGCGGATTTTCTTTCGTTACCCAAAATTTAACATTTTGTTAGAACAGCACGTACCTTTTTCAGGTATTTGTGTGGAGCCTTTTCCCCGTGCAGAAGTAAGTAACGACTGACAGTTTTATTCTTTCCCTCTTTTCAATTAATACTGTTGCTTATTTTGCACTTAGAAATTTAATGCTGTGCATTTCACAAGGTTTTTGAACTATGCAATAGGAATATGTCTCTTCGGAAAGCATAAAAACATAACCTTCTATCTACAACTAGTTTACATGCGATATTTTGAAATAAATTTTAAAGTAGTAGACAATAAGCTATTGCCAGAAATTTTTATTCCAAAAAATTTGCTTTTCTCTTTCTCGAATTGGCTCTAAAAATATGTAAATACCTTTGTCTGCATTTAAATTACGAAATGACTACCCTGTAATGCAATACTAATTTTCTGTTACTCAAGTTGTACTGAAAAAAAGACTTGCAAAATAAATTTAGAGATGGTATAGGAATTAATAGCCTATTCGTAATTTTTGCAACGTAGCAAATCCAAAATATGCATATGCATTCCTTCCTATTTCAGATAATATCTTTCATCAACACTATAACTTTTAAGAACTTCTTTTGAAGGCATCTTTCAAATATTGGTACTTTTTTGCTTCTTTCCTTAAAAAAAAAAATTGATTTTCTTTAAAAAAATATATATTTGTTTGACTGCTTTAATTTCAAGGATAAAAACATAAATTTATATCACACACATTTATAATACAAAAGCTACTAAAGTATATTTTTTGTTATTTTCGATTAAATGGTTTTACACTGTTTTATACTTATGCCGAAATATTTTTCATTCTAGCCAAAAAATA